CCATCTTTGTTGCTCATTTGACCAGACGTATCGATAAAACGGCTCATGAGAATGTAGCTGAGCCTACAGGAGAGTAGCATCCAGTCTGTCCCGATTGTTGCAATATGCTGAATGAGCGGCCGGGCCAAGTTGTTCACCCCCGTCATGTGGTTGGTGATCTGTCCGATTGCTATCAGCTCATACTTTGCCATCCCCTTTTCGCCAGTTTTTTCCCATTCTCCGTATCCTCGCTTCATAATCAGCCTCCGTTTTCCCCTGTCCCGACGAGCTCCATCATTGCCTCGCCCTACTCACAACTCCCCTTCACCCCCAAACACACGCATACAGCCACGGTGGAGACGCAAACGTCCACACGCACCAACCTCTGCACTGGGCCACTACCGCTTTCTCTCTCTCCTCCACTCGGCTTACCGTCCAATCGGATAGTTACACCGCCAGGGGTGGATAGGGGTGCCATTTTATATGCTTTTGATTGCAATCGTCAGGCCCCGGCACACACTCGGTTATGATTTTTATGGCCTGCAGGATAAAGTTGACCCATGACATTCTCTCCCCTCCTCGTGACAGTCTACTTGTCTGAATCAGCCCCCAGCGCGTCATGCTCACCCTCTCCTGAGCCTCTGCCCTAGTCGAGTCTCGCGAAATTGTCCGGTTGGGGCGACGAAGAGCCGCATTGTCTCCGCAATTCACGCTTTACCTTTGCTCGATAGTCCGTTGGTCCACTTGTACTGTGGGTCTGAAATTGGCCTATTTCCCCCATTCTTGTGGGCGTGGATATGTGTTTTTGTGCCCATACCACCTGAGCCGAGTCGCTTTGGGGCTACGTCATGTGGGCCAGACTCTATTGACCACTGGCCGAAAAATGTTTTAGTCTCCAAGTCTGCTAGTGTGTAGGTGTATGGGTGTGTAGTGAGCACACACTTAAATGACCGTTTGTTAATGCCAATCGATTTTTGCTACGTGTGTGTGTGTGTGTGCATAGACACTCTTGAGTTTGACAAAAGAGGTTGGATACAGTTCCCAGGTTCGTCAGCCTGACCATCCTATACCACCCGGAAAGAGAGGTGAGAGTATGTATCTTTGTGTTTAATTGTGCACATCTAAGCCCACGTGTACGTGTGTGTCACAAAGGGGTACCGTTTTATGCACGAGGGCAGAATAGAGTCATCTCGTGCACAAACAACTCCTCTCCCAGTCGCAACTGTCCACACATCGACACAACGACAGGCCGATTTTCATACTGGTATTCTGTACCTGAGTGCGCCTCTTCACATTTTGATAACTATCAACGTTGGAGGTCTAACTGTACATCCCCGGTACCCTCAGCCATCCTTAATCCCGTCCAGAGGATAATCAGGCCAGCGAAACAGAACCCATGGCCGAGATCCCATGGGCTGGTACGCACTGCTTGTGCGTCGACCACCCCAGTCGAACAGACTATGAAATAGGGAACATTCACACACATGCACACACACACACACACACACAC